GGCTTCCCCACACATAAGTGCAATAAGCAGTAGTTGACCTCATATATTCTATTGTGACAATCCGCACCTGTGAAGACTTCAATCTTCTTCCTTTCACTTTTCTTGAAAAATAGCAATTTCCCAAGGAGCCTTAAGGGTATCTTAATATCTTGTAGACCACTTCTAGGTGACTTTCCTTTGGAGAATGCATATGTTGGCTTACAAAGCTCACTACAAATGCAATGTCAAGTCTAGTGTGTGACAAGTAGATTAGCTTTCTAGCTAGTCCTTGATATTTATTTATTTTCATTGAATTTCCGACAACTTTTTTTGGCTTCCACTAGTGTATCACTTGGTTTGCAACCTAACACGCCGATTTCAAATAAGATGTCAAGAAACATATTTTTATTGCGAAACGCTGATTTCCTTTTTCGATCTCGCTACTTCCATTCAGCATTTGTCCCAGATCTTTTACCTCCAATTCGGTAGCTAGACATATCCTTAGTCTTTCAATTTCCACTACATTGTCTCCTCACAGAATGATATATCAACATATACAATTAGGATTGTCTTAATCCCATCTTCAAATTGTTGGTAAAACATAGTGCGAACCGATTGCCCTTGTCAATATCCTGGACCTTTCAACAGCTTCACAAATCTATTAAACCATGCCTTTGGCTACTGTTTGAGCCAATAAAGAGATTTCTTGGGTCTGCATACCCAATCTCCTTCATTTATCTTGTTGAATCCTTGTGGTAATGTCATAAATACTTCTAATTTTCCATTTAAAAATACATTTTTTTTACGTCAAGTTGTTGCAGAGGCCAATTCAAATTTACAGCTAAAGGCAGGAGAACTCAAATAGTATTCAATTTTGCTACTGGAGCAAATGTTTCTATGTAGTCGATGCCATAGGTCCCGTGTGTATCCTTTTGCAACCAATCGAGCTTTACACCGTCCTATGGTCCCATCAACTATGTATTTCAAATTGAAGACCCATTTGCAATCAATTGGTTTCTTCCCTTTTGATAGGTCCAATACCTCACAATTCTCATTTTTCTCCAATGCTCTCATTTTCTCCAATACTGTTTATCTGCACTCAAGAATTTATGTACTATTAAGATGGGATGTGAAAGCACCGAATCCTGCAGATAGAGCATTATAAGGCATGAATTTTGAAATAGGGTGTACTCATGATTGTGTTTGCTTTCTGAGAACAATAGGTAAACCGGGGATTTATGAAGCTTCATGAGGAGCTATTATCGGTTATGACTCTTTTGGTGCTTCAAATGTGATGTTCTCTTTGTACTTTAATTTTGGCTTTCGTAAGTAGACTAGTATCTCTTTATCATTTTGTTTTTCAAAATCCATCCCTGCATTTAAATTCTCTTCAATTAATAGCATACTAGATGGTAGGATAGATTTTATTCTTGTTGTAGGTTTAGGAGGAGTGAGATCGAAGTCAAGTAACCGATCTTCATGTATGGTCTTCCTCTGAAGAGAGATTTTGTTAAAATACGAAGTATTTTCGAAGGTGGCATCAAGCCTTACAAAGATTTTCTTCGTGGAGGGATCGTAGCACTTGTAGTCCTTCTAAATAGGAGAGTATCCAATCAAAACATATTTAACTGCTCGAAAATCAAGTTAACCCTGTAAAGAGTGAATATAAACGAAGGCAGCACATCCAAACACTCCTAAGGATAGATCGGAGCTGAGTCAAGAGGTTGGAAAAAGTTTCTTAAGTTTTTGGAGAGGCGATTCAAAGTTTAAAATACGACTATGCATTTTGTTGATTAGGTAGGTGGATGTCGGGATAACATCTCCTCAAAACATTTTTGCATGTTTGTAGTAAACATCAATGCATGAGCAACTTCTAGGAGATGCCTATTCTTACATTTGACAATCCTATTTTATTGGGAAATGTTGATCCAAGAGCTTTGATGAGTTATTCCACATGTTTGGAAAAAATCACCCATGGTATTATTGAAATATTTTGTGTCATTATCCGTGCATAAAATTTAAATGTGTTTAGATCATGGAGTGAAAATTGATAAATATGAAATGAACATCTGATTTATCTTTTAGTAGGTAAACCAGCAAATTCAAGTATGATCGTTAATAAACGTCACAAGCCACTTTGCATTAGTATGATTGGGAATTTGTGATGGCTCCCATAAATCGCTATAGATCATAGTGAATGGCTTGGAAGGTTTGTATATGGACGTCGGGAATGATGTACGTTGATGTTTTGCAGACACATATTTCACATTAAATATCAACGAACATTTTATTCATAAAATTGAAGAAAATACACATTTCAAGTACTAAAAGATTGGATGACACATTCTAAAATGCCATAACAAAACTTCACTATTTCTAGAAATAGAATGCAGAAAATTGTAACGTGACGTCGTTTACTCACATCAATCTTGTCAAAGTATTAGAGCCCGTCACTTTCCTTAGCACTACCCATCGTCATCCCCGATGATAGATCCAGTGATATGGGAGAAATTTAGCAAAGCAATTTGATTTTTTTGTCAAATGGCTTATAGAAAGTAAATTGCATGATAACTTTTGAACATGAAGGATTCTAAAGTTATAAAATCAGAATTTTTAATACACCTTTTTCTTGCGATTGATAACAGTGAACCATCTACAATTCTACCTTTCAGATTGCCAGCACAAGAGATGTATGAAAAGAATAGGTGGTGGAAATCAATCATGTAATCAGATGCTCATGAGTCAAAAATCCAAGGAGTTTTAGATTGGTGATTTGTAAGGCTCTCAAAAATTACCTCTATAAGCTGGTGAGCTAAAAGGGTTATTTGTAAAGGTTCGACTCGATGATTGAAAGCTAGAAAACATTTTGTAGAGTTGCTTCATCTGTTCGAAATTGAAAGCACTACTTGACTCGGATTTTCCTGTTTGGTAGTCAATAAAGCTTGGTATCTACAAGTTTTACTATTTTGCCTCGGTTTCCAATTGCTCGATTTTTCCTGTATATCCAAACACATATCTTCTTTGTGTCCTGATTTTTTACAATGCTCACACCACGGTCAACCTCGTTGGTTTGGAATTAGCCCGATTGCTACACCTTTAGAATATACTCTCATCATCCCAAGATCATATTTGGACCATGATTCAAGCCCATTCCACTATTAGACCTAGCCATTAGCCCATTACCTCCATTAGTTAGCCCATCATTAGGCAGCCAAAACCTTTTAGAACTCAGCTCAAACGCCTCTGTTGGAGCTCCATACGCATCAGTCATTCAGCATGATCTTCCTCTGGTCCTCTTCTTGCCTCACCTTCGCAAAGACTTCCCCTGACAAGGAAAGAGGTCATCGGCCAAGGATCCAACTATGAACATCATCGAGATTGCGATGGAGGCCTACTCACTCTTTCACTTTCCAGTTTCTTTGTGGCTATTTCAGCACACTTCCACTCTTCTTCCAAACTCAGGTCCAATTCTTGCCACAATTTCAATTTGATTTCGAAAATTTTAGATGAGGTTTCTGAATCTGAATACATCTCTTTTACAGCCTCTCAGATGTCTTTTGCAATTGGAAGGAACAAATATGTTTTTTTTTTTTTTATAGCAAGCTCCATGGAATTAACAGGCAAGGCAACTGGAAAGTGAAGGAGTGAGTAGGCCTCCATGGAATTAACAGGCAAGGCAGTCACCAACGACTTCTCCGTCTTCCATTTTTGAAGGAGAGCAATGTTGGTTGAGGCAGGCATCTTGATTTCCCCACTTAGGTAACCAAGTTTTCCCTTTCCATCAACCATTAGTTTCATCGATTGTGCCCATTCTCGAAAATTCTTCCCATTCACTATTTCTATCGTGAGTTAGAAGAACAAAATTTTCCATTCCTCCTGTACTAAAGGCAGACGTGACTTCAGATTTAGATTCAGATGTCATAGAGCCTCTATTATTCGTGGCTGCTTCGGCCATGTTTTAGTTAGGTTAGGAAATAATCTAGCTCTAATACCATGAAGAGAAATTGAATCTATTATTTCTCGATAATTGTACACTGTAAAGAGTTGCAATTTATAATGCAAAGGAAGCTGTAAAAAAGGAAAGTTCTATCTCCTAAAACTAGAAGGAAATCAATTGATATACTACACAACTCTAATTATGGATAGGAGATTATTTTCAATCAATTCAGCTCTTCTCCTTATTTGGTATGATTCGAATTTCCAGTCTTCCTATGCTCTGTTTTCTATAGAATTCAGCCATCGGTACAGGTACACTTTGGAAAATTTTTGTATAGATTGATAAAATTGTTATCAGACACTTGCCATTTCCCATTGCAGGGCATTTTACTAGCTAAAATGTTCATTCTAAACCAGCATAGTTATCGCATTCCTAAGCGGATTGAAGTGTCTAGCCTCTAGCCATTGTGGTGACAAAAATAATAGAACTTCAAGCTTGACTAACATAATAACAGTTTTGCATTATTCTCAAGCTAAAAAGAAAGGAAGTACCAAAGGAACATAACAACATATTATGCTTTAGAACAATATAAAAAGAAAAGGAAACAAAGTACAAAAAAATGCCAACATGATTTCATATGAATTGTATATTGTGGATCCTAATTCTAATTTGGAAGATTACTCAATTATCATTGATTCCGATACAAAGGAGTAACTCATGAGCTGTCATGGGCACATGCATTCCCTAGTTCCATGAAACAAATTATCACGGAATGGCCAAAGAAGAGTCTTTGGCTACTGCCTACCAGTGCAAATGTGGTTTGAAGTAATGATTTTTTTCGAGAATGTGTGGTTAAAAAAATAAGGAAAAGTTTAGACTTCATGTGTAGAATTATTTTATGAGAATGTGTGGTTGAAAATGAATTTTAGAAAAATGAGTTATTAAAAAAATTGGGGCCAAACATAGGCATAATTTTCATTGGTTGTTAAAATAAAGTAAATATGGAGCAATTTAGAATGCTCGATTCAAGTAATAAACACCTAGCGACAATCCAAAACTCAATGCATCAGTTTCAATGATATACCTCTTCACAACCTGATTCCATCATCACTTTAATTGATCTGGTAACAAGTTCTGTAGCTGAAAACAGAAAAAAAGAACATCTAACTCTTCAAGTACTTTCTATAAAATGGAAAGAACTACAAATGAATTTCACTGACAGTTCTTTGGAAACATAGACATACTTCCATTGTAGTTTGTCTCAAAATTATTCCTTACAAGTGCATAGTATGGTAAACAGACGCCTATTATCTATCTATATGACCAATACAGTGTTGAGGCACCTAATTTATAAGTAAGCAGTTGTAATGTTATCACCATGATTCGGCTTGCTGTCTACAGAGGGGAAGAGATAAAATAGGATTTTGAACCAATAATGTCCGGATTAAAAACTTATTGCCTTGGCTTAAATGACACATGGATGCCAAAAAATGGCATTTTTTGGCTTATTTCGGCAGTTTAGTAGTGATGCAACAGATATAAGCCAGCTTCTTTTACGAGAGAAGGCGCACACACAGATACCTCTGCCTCTAAGTGAATAGGTTGTATTCGGGAGAATCGATTAGGCTTATAACTTTCTGAAGAATAATTATAAGAATCAAAACTAGTGATTTCCAACAAGAATCGTTACATAAATTCTAGTGAATATAAAAATTGGAAGAGTTAGGGATAAGAGACTCACCAATACCTCTGCCCCTGTAAGAATTGAGAACGACAAGCATAGCGATGTAACCTCTGAAAGTATTGCGATGCTCTCCCATCTTGCACACTACAGTGCCAACGCATTTTCCCTTGTGAAATGCCTTCATCAGATACACATATTATACAACAAGCCAACATTATTCAACAACTACTCAATCAGTAATGAAGGATCAAGAGAGAATAAAACAATAATGATAGCAGTAGAGGAGTTACTGACGAGGAAAGAGAGTTGGGGCCAGAGATAGACGAAGTAGCGATAAGTGAAAATGGAATAGGGTTCGCTCAGCTCCTGGTCAACCAGATTCATAATCAATGGCAGGTGATGCTCCCCGTTATAGCTCACATACTCTATCTCTGAACCATCGAACTGAGCCTTTCCTTCCATTGCCATCTCCGCCCAACGCCGTCTTGCGCCAAGCAGAAACTCGTTTCAGGAACGCAAAGACACGATCAGTTAAAAAGGAAAGAAATCCGGTTGGGCCTTAGAAGAATGCTCGAATAAGAAGGCCCTACACAACCCCATTTTGTTGGGCCAGTATATCACAGAGCCGCCTGTGTGGATGCTGATCCACTTGATATCAAAGACTTGTCTTGCCTGGATCACATTGAAAAACAAATAATCAAATGTGCTAAGTACTCGTTTGGTACTCATTAAATTAAATTTTATTTTTCTCTCTTATTTTTAATCACACAATTTTTTATAAAATAATATTACACGTAAATCAAAAAAAAATTTCTTTTTTTTAACCACTTATTTTTTTAAAAAAATAAATTATTCCACTCATTTTTATTTTCAAAAAATGAAAGCCAAACGAGGCATAAATCGAAATAAAAAAGGGTTATGTTTTGAAATTCTAGCTTCAATTATTGAGTTTTGGCTACCTTCTCAAAAGTGGGAAATTAGTCTACTTACTTTTCAACTCGTTCTTTCAAAAATTAGACGTAAGAATTTTTTTCTTTCAAAAATTAAGTATTCCCATTCCCCTTTCCCCAAACCACAATCATACCTATACAACAACTGTCACACGCCGCCACTACCACATCACTAACATCGCCCATCACCACTGCTTCCCTGTGTTTGTAGCGATCGAGAAAAAAACATCGTGTCATTTAAAAAGAAAATTTTCTTGTAGAACTCAATAATAATTTGTGTTATATCATTATGTCGATACAACCCTTCTTAAGAGTTCAAATTAAATATTTGGTCGCGATAGTAAAGTTTTGCGCACTTGTCCTTTTTGTTTAAAAATAATAATAATAATTGGTTATGTATCAAGTTTTTATTAAACGACAAATTGTTTTTATTTATTTATTTTATTTATTTATTTATTTATTTTGGTTATGTGATTTGTGACGACATACTTTATATTAATTGTTTCTTATATATTAAGTGCATAAATTTTTAAAAAAAAATAGATAAACAGATTATGTTGTATCAAACAACCCCAAAATTCATCCATTATATTTATTTCTTCTCACTCACAGTTTTCATCCGCTAATGCATTCACGTTTATATTTTTATCATCCTTAAATTTGACTTTTCTTCCACTAATCATTCCATTTGGATCAACCACTGAGTGTCATAACTGTAATAATCACTTAATGCCCATTATACTAATTAAAAAAAGGAAAAAAAAAATTGTCATTTCATTTGAAAAAGTAACCCGTACATTCATAACTCAACCATTTATACACATAATTAATATTCCACTTACCATTGTTTTTAATCCCATTTCGATTCCTGCCAATCATCATCATTGTTATGTATTTGAAAAACAATAATCTTCTATAACCTCTAAAGCCACGTTTTCTCTCCTAAACTATCATACTTATCCATAAAATTGTTTTGCCCTATTTCCCATAGATATAAGGCACTTTGAAATTTTAAAATTTCCTAAAAGAAAGGCTAGGAGGACGCTGCATCATATTACAAATCGAATGCAAAATGGTGTTCAAACTCTTAGCATTTAAGGTAGGGTGTTCCGGCTCTTTTGTATGTAAAGTAAAATTATTTGTTTTCGATTTGTATTAGATTTATTATTGTGTTGCTTCCTGAGAAAATGGAAACAACATTTGGTGGTCCAAATAAGCTATGAAGAGATGATTTACGACACTTGAAAGGGGTCATCAAACCCTGAGAGTCCTGATAATCGGTTCGCTTTGCAAAATTGACGTTGACACAAATAACCAAAGTTTGTATTTCTACTAAATTTTACAAGTTAAATCGAGAACAATTAGGGAGTTAAGGCGGGAAATTGATGAGTTGAAACAGGCCTTGGCTACTGAGGCTACACCTCCAGCACCTCAAGCTCTTCCAGTTCTCCAAGCACTATCAGTGCCACCAACATACCCGACTACATCGCCATTTTGACGGTAGAACAATTTAATAGATATTGATTCCCTATCTTTGATGGCGGGAAGGACCCTCTGGTAGCTGAGAAGTGGTTGCGTACTATTGAGAAGATCTTTCGACACATCTCTTGTCCAAAAAATCAAAAAGTATTGTGTGTTGCGTTTATACAAATCAGAAGAGCAAGCCATTGGTGGGAATCCTTATCAGTTTCAGCACCTCGAACAATACCTCTCTCATGTGCAACTCAAAATGCGATCTTTCTCATGCTAGGGAAGCTAATATATGATATAGATCATATCAAAGTCCTCGATCGAAAGCTCATGCCGAGGGAATGAATCCGTAAATAAAATGTAAAACAATTAAAGAATGAAGCAAAACCAATAAAAAGATTAAATTTCAACTCCTAAGAAACTCATTATATGTGGAGAATTTGGTGGGGACTGTCATAGGCGTCAGACGATCACCCTCCATTGTACCTTATCTCCCTGAAGTCAAGCACCAAGAGCTCTTCCAATCCTTGATGGAGGTTGGCGGTCAATCACAAATGGAATATGAACCACAGGAAGTCAAATAATACCACCTACTAGTCTAAGCACCTTCGATGTAACGTTAGGCATGTATAAGGTCTGAAAAACATAAAAAGGCATGTCTACCCCGTAAGATACCTCCCACCACAACATCCAAGACTCCACCATCTAACTTCATATGTTCGGGTTCAATTGGGTCAACGCAAGGCCATATGTCCTCACTTGCAAAGTGAAGAAATGGATGTAATGGCAATCTGAGGCTAGCTTTGAAAACGGCCTCACTATCAGCAACACATCCCTACCTCGAGTAACACGTATGCTCATCAGGGTCTGGCAATACAACCCTATATTGTCTAGTATCCTATAATCTTCTCTAAGTTTCACGAAGCCTGAGGTTTTTATCCTAGAGGGCAATCTGATGCCCCTTAATGAATCGAGGTTTCTATTAGGCTATCAGGTCTTTTCATATCATTTTTCCTACCTATTACGACCTTCGATACCAAGTTAAACGATAAGGCTATGGGTTCGCTCAGACAGAGGCTACCAAGGCCAACCTATCTTCAGCTGTCTCATCAGAAATCCTAGAATCAACCATTTCTCACAGAAAACACAAAAAGAGGTAGAAATTCAAGGGGTTTCAAAAAATTTACCTATACACAATTATTGCTAAGGTAATAAACAGCTTGAAAGTGAGCAATGTTGTCAAAAACTGGAACAATATTCTCGAAGATTGGTTTTTGCAAAGTGTTCGTGCATTTTCAATTTTTTGAAAGTTCAAAACAAATGAAGAAGCAACCTTTTATAGGCTAAAATATCAAGCCTCACCCGTTAGATCAAATTACAAAGTGAGCTTGATCTTCCATTCGTCGATCAATCTACACCGCTGAGGTTAAATGCCAAACAAATTAGATGCCCAAGATAAAGTAGTGTACATAAAACTGGCATGAAGCTCTTCCTCTCAAACTTCAACCATATTACGCCAGATTAGCACCAATGACCTAAAAGAAGCATGCGTTGGAGGTAGTCAATGCTTTAGCCAGTTTTCTTGGAAATCTAAAATAGCTTTCAAATCATTGACACACAACCAATGAAATTTCTCATTAGCTTAGAACCTCGCAGTCAATGTCCCAACGTTCGAAATCCTGATGTACCTCGTCTCAGCCTTCGTAACTTTTCTTAAAGTTGCTATCATCCAAAGCCTCATCCTCAAGCAAGGACCATCTCTCTGCCTTCACAGCGTTTCTCAAGGTTGCTATAATTTAGAGCCTCATCTTCAAGCAAAGACTGCACCTCCACCTTCAAAACTTTTCTCAAAATGGATATCATTTAGAACCTCGTCCTCAAGCAAGGACTGAAAGTCCATGCATTATATAAATATCTATATATGAACTTGGGGGACTATAGGGTTTCCAATCGAAAATTTAAAAATTAATTCCAATAATTTTATAAATGCCCAATTGAAGTAAAATATTTCGAGCTAATACATCACATCTCCATATTAAAAGTTCAGGCATTATATAAATATTATACATGGACTTAGAGGACTATTGTTACTCCTCTTATAGATGTTCCAAATCATTGCCAACGTGACAACCAACTAAGCAAGTCGATAAGGCCCATGCTCCACATCACCACGCATCGTCGAAGTGCTGAGGTAGGGTAGTCCACTAGCGCATCTATGGGATAGGTCGAGGCCCCAATGTGATATTTTCGAAAGGGTATATTCCGAAGTGGTAAGAGGTGGAATGTCGCAGTTGGAGTGATATCACTTTGCCTAGTCTATATTAAATCTAGAATCTTTTATACAAAGACCTAGTTAAAATAAAATCCACACGATTGATTGATGTGATATTTGTATAGTAGACGCCAAAAGGACAAGTCACAAAATCCACTCATTAGGGAGCATTAAATGTTTATCTACCTAGGGACTAATTGATTGACACCTAGGTAGAGATGCCTTGGCTAGCAGATGCAGCCACTTGTCCCTTCATACAATGATACCAAATCCACCTCTTCCCCTATAAATACTCACACTTATTTACATTTAAAAGCTAATGCAATCTTTACACATAAACTTACACTTTGCTTCATTATCTTGAAATTGACGTGTTGTTTTCTTTTTTTCTTCACTGTCAACAGACTTGACTGTCAGAGTGCTCATGGCCGCCTCCACCACCACCAAAAAGATCACGAGTAACTAACAATTCATTACTGTGCACAAGATGGAATGAGTATTTACATGTTGGCCACGTTATCTCTAAGAAAATTGGGGTCAATAGCTATCCCCTTAATCAATTTACCTCTTTCAAGTTCAAATTGATTTTGTTTAACTAATTTAATTTCATATCTTTGTGTGAATCTAGATAAACCTAAATTAAATGTATTAAATCTCTAAGGATATATATGTAAGCGGTGCGCTAACTAAAAAATGTATCTCTACAATTTCATACTAATTACCAACTTTTATTATGTGGTTTAAACATTGTTCGGCTATCTTCGTAATTATCACTTACAAATCAATGAATTAGTGGCCAATTGATCGAAAACATTTAAAATAGAAGTAAAAATAATTCAAAAATCAATTGA